ATCCATATTGACACTAGTCACTGGAGATGTAGAAGCATTGCTTGATCACACTTGTTATTGTTGATTGCTGTCAAATTGAGCACAACTCATAGGTACCCTCTGAACAAAACGCCTGAAGCCTTTCTATAACTATCATCATTTACTGAAGTGTGTAGAATTTACAGAGGCATGGTATTTAGGAAGTGGATGCCACTCCTGCTTGACCACACTGGTCCTTATCTAAGCCCTCTCTCCTAATTCTGTGCCTTATCTCTTTAGTCCCAGCATCAACAGAGTCCACAAACATACTGAACAATGAAGAACTAATGAATCAGGGAGTAAGTATTGGATAGGAGCTGTGCACCTCCCATCGACAGCCCTTTGTTCCTACCTCATTATGTAGCAATGCAAATTGGAAGGAATAAGTGGAGCTCCAGGCAAGAAAACGAAGTTATTGTTGCAAGGAGATTTAACAAGACTCAAGTTGTTTAGGGAGATTATAGAAAATAATTGAAGGTAGGAAGCGCATGTGGTCAAAAGAAGAGGCAGAAAGAAGCAGAGATAGATTGACAGAGTAGCTACAACAATGGGTTCAAGGTCAACAACAATTGGAAGACTTGTCCTGCAAGTGCAGGACTGGGAAGTGTTTCATTATTTTCTAGATAAGGTCACTATGAGTCAACCAACTTAGGAGCCCCTAACAATAACAAAGAGAGAAACAACCCTGGATGGAAATATTTACTCATTCCTCAGATATTCTTCACAAAATCTACAATCCTAAACACAAAAGAATACCTGGTAAAAATCTTGACTACTAGCTGAAAGGTTGGTGGTTTGAGCCCATCGAGAGGGGCCTTGGAAGATCTGCTGATCGTCTATGTTGTTATGGTTGCTGTTGGGTGCAGTTGAGTCGAGCACAATTCGTAGTGACCCTATGGAGAGGAAGGCCCTCAACCTGCTGATACAGAAGGTGGTTGCTGTGTGTTGTTTATTGCTGTCGAGTTGAGCATGACTCACAAAGACCCTCTGAACAAAAGGCCTGAAGCCTTTCTATAACTATCATCATTTGTCAAAGTTCATAGAGTTTCCAGAGGCGTGTTGTTTAGGAAGTGGATGCCACTCCTGCTTCCAGTTCAGAAAGTTCCATCCTCAAAAATCCTAGAAAGCAGTTCTTCTCAGCAACACACAGAACTGCTGTGAGCTGGAGCCAACCCGGTAACAACCAACAGCATTAAAACGGTGGCATCGACAGGGACTCAGACAGAGCTCGCCTCCTTTCCAGGAGCTCTGCTGGTTGCCATGGAATCTTTGGCCAGAGAAGAGTCAACGACCTAGACTGGATGTGCCAAAGATTCAGAAGGAGTGAGTACCAAGGTTCCCGTCCTAACACTCTCTCCTCTTACAGAGAGGGATAACATCTAGAAGAATCCTCTAGAGGAGATGGTCCTGGTGAGAACTGTGTGTGTAATTTGGGGACAAAGCTGTGGTTAAATCCGGAGGCAAGCTATTTCAGAAGTGGATGCCACTCCTGCTTCCAAGCTTGTTTTAATTGGGGAGCTTCACCAAACACTGTCCACCATGGGTAACCATTATTGCATTTGGCATACCAGTGTCACAGTTTAGCACCACAGCAACCACGAGTTACCTCTGTACAGCAATGCACAGATCAGTGCTATGCCACTTAGGAGAGTAGAAATAATAAAGACATGTGTGCATACCTGTTGGGCTGGTCCCCATCTCCTGTGAAGAAGCAGACCATGTAGAACCTTCATGTGTTGCCTGGTTTCCCATCTTTGAAGTGGACATCAGATATTCATCAGTCTCTGAAAGAAAAGAGAAATGAAAAGGCTCATGCACCCACTATCTCAGAATGACGACAGTGTAAGAACTCTCAGCTTGTAGAGTTTGTTTACATTGATTACTCAATTTTTCCTCTCAAGTCAGATGCTATTGAGCCTAAAGTAAGAGCGAGCCAGTGAGTTGCCCAGAAGACTTCAAATAACAGGACATGGTGGTGTTGTGGACTGTTGAATCAGAACTGACGCCTAGCTGACCCTCGGGAGGGTTTTCAGATGCAATAAAGTGCATGGGAAAAGATTGCCCATCCTTGTCCTGTGAAGCAGTTGGTGGACTTGAACTGTGTTCCATTAGGATTGCAGTGCAGCTTCTAACTATCAGAACAGGACATAGTTAAATACAAGACACTCCGGGAAAACTCATATCCACGAAGGGAAGCTATTAATTGTAGAAACAGCGACTAATTGAAACAAGACAACATTATTAGAACAGGAATTTTTAAACTCTTTTGTAACATGAACCCTGCATTGAAAAGAAAAGAACATAATGAAAATAATTTTTTAAAAAAATCTATAAATAATAAAGGGAACCAATTATATTGAGATAGAAACATTTAAAAAAGAAAACTGTTATAATAATATATGTAGTTCAGCCAGCACATTAAATATATTGTTGTTGTTGTTGTTATTGTGTACTATAGAGTCAGAACCAACCTATATTTGACCCTCCAGCGAGTTTTCAGAGGCAGTTAATTGCACAGGAGGAGATTTCCCATCATTCTCCTGTGAATCAACTAGTGGCCTTGAACTGCATGCCTTCGAGATTGCAGCGCAGCTTCTTGCCACGAGGCCACTGGCACTCATATAATAGTATGAAGCTATTATAAACTTGAAGGAAGGCATAAGTGATAATTCAAAGTAATTGCAATTCTGTTACCAGTTAATTTTTACTTATGGCAACCACATGCGTGCCTTAGAATTGTGCCATAGAGTTGTCAGTGACTAATTTTCTGGAGGTAGACAGCAAAATCTTTCTCTGAGTGTCTTAAACCTTTTGGTTAGCAGTCAAGTGTCTGCTGACTGCTAATGACAGAAATAAACTAAGAATGGAAAAGTGTGGTGGTGGTGGTGGTGGTTTTGAGTACCGTTGAGCTGTACCCGACCCATAGCTGACCCTCCAGTGGGTTTTCAGAGGCAGTTAAATGCACAGAAGGAGATTGCTTATTCTTCTTTTATGGAGTGGATTTGAACTGTGTACATTTAGGATTGCATTGCAGTGCAGGTTCTTACTACTAGGCCACCAAGTGGAACAACATAATTATTGCCATTGAACTGTAGGTGTAAAGATGGTTGTTGTTGTTGTTATGTGCTGTTGAGTCGCTTGCGACTCATAGCGACCCTATGAGTCGCAAGCAGCCCTAAACCCCACTCTATCCTGTTGCCAACTGCACTGTCTCTGACACAACCAGCCCGATTACCCCAGTCACAGAATCAATCCACCTCATAGAGGACCTTCCCCTCCTGTGCTGTCCCTCTGCCCTACCAAGCATGATGTCTTGTTACATATAAATTTACCACAGTCAAAATCTACAACAACTGAAATACGATATGGACTCAATCATTTCTGATGTCGAATTCTATGATTTTTTTAATCTACATGCAAAATGCTTAATTTCTGCTCAAAGTTAGTTAAAGAAAGATATTACTGTTTTATGTAAGCTCACTCTCAGTAAAGTGGAAACAGGCATGAGTTCTTACTTTCAGTCAAGAGAGTTTTGGCAGTGAAGGAATTAGAACTCCAAGTCTCAGGAGAACTCTTCTTTGTGGCTGTGGCTTCTGGGAGGGAAGAAGCAGTTGTCCAGGCTGACTGGGCTTTTGCTCGGGTGAACACCAGTGTCTGCGTCTCAGGTGGGTTTCTCTCTCCTTCTGTAGCAGTCTGCACTGAGGTTTCTCCAAAGGATGTTGTGTCTTCTTGAGGCTCGCTTAGCATAAACGTGGGAGCAGAAGTCAGAACTGATGTCTGAAGATGTGCCATGGTGTTGGGGTGGCTTACTGTGAAGGGGTCAAGAGAGAAGGTGGTCTTTCTGAAGGTGGATTGAGTGGAGGATAGAGTGCTGGTTGCTCCTTCCGTGGATAAACTTAGCTGAGAAACATCAGAACTGGACCTTGTTGCTTGACCTGTGCTGAAGGGAACAGTGGGTTTTGACCCAGAATTCAAGGTCCCTGCTGGCAATGTTATATCTGATCCTGGAAAAGTCAAGCTTTCTGAGGCAGATTTAGGGACTCCTGTTCCTGAAAGGAAGGCGCTGGTTGCATGTCCTGCTAGCATAGTGGGCGAGGCATGTGATATAATGCTTTCAGTGGAGTCCGTGGCGGGAGCTAGGTGAGTACTTGTTGCCACGGTCATAATGTCTGTCCCTGTGCTTTTATCTTGAGGATTGGAAACTGAAGAAGATGGTGTGCTTGAACCCGAGACTGGAATAGGACTAGAAGTCAATGAGGAAGAGGACTTAGCCTCCATATCTGTCCTGGAACTCGCCCAGGAATCTGTAGAAGGGGTGCTGGGAATGTGTGCACTGAGGATGTCAGAGCTCCCAGGGCCAACCGTGCCGGCAGTGAGCCCTGCAGAGATGCTCACTGTGGTCGTGAGCTCCCCCACAGGGTGGGATGAAGACACTTCTGTGGGAATTGTGGCCTCGCTTTCAGATCTTGTAAAACTGGGCCTGAAGGCTGAGGTGGTGATCAAATTGATCTCTGTTCTGGGTAACGAAGTCTCAGCCGGCTCCTTGGAGGGACTCACAGTGCTCTTAGTCTCCACTGTAGTGACGGACAGTGGAGTCTTGGTCTCCGCGGGGATAGAGCTGGTAGATGGAGACGTGTTGGCTTTATCTTCTGGAACACTGATGAAGCCATGGGTGTTGGTGGCCCCTGACCACTCAGAAGACAGCATCCTGGTTGTGGGGACACTTTGTGAGCCTGTGACCCCTGAAGAGGCACTGAAAGTGAGGATAGTCCCTGCTGTCCCTTCTGAGGGAAAAGAAGGCACCAGAGGAGGAGTTGTGGTTTCGAATGGCTCAGTATTTGTTTCTGTATTATGCAGTGGCATGAAAGTGGTGATAGTTGAGGTATATTCCGTCCTGGCTGGGGCCTCAGGGGTTCCTGAATGCAGAGGGGAGGTACTTGTTGGGATTGCCCTCCAGGTGCTCGTCTCTGAGACTTTCTCACTGTGAGGTGAAGTGGATGTCAACAGAGGAGCCCTCGAGCTTGGACTGGTGTCGCCAGTAGAAGCAGCTTCAGGAGAGAGGGAATGCACAGTGTTCAGTGGGGTCAGCTCCAGGCTGGTGGACTCCACAAAGTCAGGGCTTCCAGTAGTTGATGTTTCAGAGACAGTAGAGGAAGCGTGTCCCAATGATGAGCTTGTCATTCTTGGAGGACTCGATGTAGCAGACATCCTGGTTACTGCTGGCACCATGGAGATTGGGGGAGTTTTCCCAGCCAGAGTCAAATGTGGGGATGTCTGAGATGAAGCTGAGGGTGGCATGGAGACATGTGTTGTACTCTGGGTGGTCCTTGTGTTGCTGTCTGTTTTGGCTGAGCTCAGAGTGGAAGCCAAGAAGTGATTGGTGGCCAGGACATCTGTGGCTTCCGATGTGAATGTGTCTGTGCGCGTTGCCCAGGGAGAAGTTTCTTCAGTGGAGTGTGATGTTGGAGTGGAATGGCTCACAAAGGCTGGTGCGCTGGTTAATGCAGAGATCTGCTCCATTCCTGTAACCTCACTCATCTCTGTCCATGGAATGTGTTGGGATCCAGAAAGGAACTGAACTGTGCCAGCAGTGGACCATGACACTGCATGTGGGGTGCTGGCAATGGAGACACCGAGGGGTTCTGAGCTTGTAGGGGAGACTGCTCCACTGGTGGACATGAGCGAGGAGCTGCCTGTGCTCATGGGCTCTTGCCATGTGAGAGATGAAGATGCCATTGTAGAGCTTGTATGCATGGTGTTTGGAGTGGTATCAGAAGCTGGTGCCCTAGTCTCTGGTGAGGTCCTGCGTGCTGGCGTTTCAGGACTTGTCTCAGTCCAGATGCTATGCTGGGGTCCTGTTAAGTCTTGAATTGTTCTGTCACTTGTCCACGTGACTGGTGAAGTGGCACTGGGAATGTGGCTACTGAGGATGCCAGAGCTCCCAGGGCCTTCCGCGCCGCCAGTGAGCCCTGCAGAAGCACTGACGGTGTCTGTGAGCTTCTCCATGGGGTGAGATGAAGAGATCTCAGTTGGACTAGTGGCCTTGCTTTTAGATTTTGTGAAGCTGGGGCTAGAGGCTGAGGTGGCAGTCAAATTGATGACTGTTTCCGGTGATGAAGTCTCAGATGGCTCAGTGGAGGAACTCACTGTGCTCTTAGTCTCCACTGTAGTGATGGACAGTGGAGTCTTGGTCTCCAGGGGGATAGAACTGGTAGACGGAGAGGTGCTGGTTTTCTCCTCTGTAACACTGGAGAGGCTGTGGGTGCTGGCAGTCCCTGACCATTCAGAAGACAGCATCCTTGTTGAGAGGATCCTCGGTGAGTCTGTGACCCCGGAAGTGACACTGAAGTTAAGGGCAGCCCCTGTTGTCCATTCCTCTGATGGAAGAGGGGCCTCCAAGGACTGAGTTGTGTTTTCGATTGTCTCAGGATTTGTTTCTGTATAATTTAGTGTCACCGAAGTAGTGATGATTGAGGTGAAATCTGTCATACTTGGAGTCTCAGGGGTCCCTACAGGCCATGAGGATGTACTTGTTTGGGTTGGGAAAGTTCTGGTCACTGAGGCTTGATCACTGTGAGGTGAAGTGGACATCAAGAGAGGAGCCGTTGTGCTTGTCCTGATGTCTCCAGTAGAGGGAGCTTCAGGAGAAAAAGAACGCACAGCGTTCAGTGGGGTCAATCCCAGGCTGGTGGGCTCCATGAAGTGAGGGCTTCCAGCAGTTGATGTTCCAAAGATGGTAGAAGCAGCCAGTTCCAACGATGAGCCTGGCATTCCTGGAGGACTCGATGTAGCAGTCACCCTGGACCCTGCTGGCATCATGGAGATTGGGGGAGTTTCCCCAGCCAGAGTCAAATGTGGGGATGTCTGAGTTGAAGCTGAGGGTGGCATGGAGACATGTGTTGTACTCTGGGTGGTCCCTGTGTTGCTGTCTGTTTTTGCTGAACTCTGAGTGGAAGCCAAGAAGTGACTGGTGGCCAGGCCATCTGTGGCTTCCGGTGTGAATGTGTCTGTGGTCATTGCCCAGGGAGAAGTTTCTTCAGTGGAGTGTGACACTGGAGTTGAATGGCTCACAGAGGCTGGTGCGCTGGTTGATGCAGAGATCTGCTCCATTTCTGTAACCTCACTCGTCTCTGTCCATGGAATGTGCTGGGATCCAGAAAGGAACTGAACGGTGCCAGCAGTGGACCATGGCACTGCATGTGGGGTGCTGGCAATGGAGGCACCGAGGGGTTCTGAGCTTGTAGGGGAGACTGCTCCACCGGTGGACCTGAGCGAGGAGCTGCCTGTGCTCATGGGCTCTTGCCACGTGAGAGATGAAGATGCCGTTGTAGAGCTTGTGTGCACAGTGTTTGAAGTGGTATCAGAAGCTGGTGCCCTAGTCCCTGGTGAGGTCCTTTGTGCTAGCGTTTCAGGACTTGTCTCAGTCCAGCTGCTGTGCTGGGGTCCCGTTAAGTCTTGAATTGTTCTGTCACTTGTCCACGTGACTGGTGAAGTGGCACTGGGAATGTGGCTACTGAGGATGCCAGA